CTTAGCAGGAGCTTCCTGGATGATTTACACTGGCCCAATGACATGGAAAGAGGATGACTCATCTAGAAATTAGAACTATTATAAATAACTTGTCAGGGACAACTTTTACATTCTTAAGTAGACTTTTCTCTTAAAACTTTAACAAGAAGCTGGTTACATTACTAAATACAACACCTACTCATTTTCCACATCTCCCTGCTCTCCTGTGCCAAATTTTAACACAAATGGGTAGAATTAAGTGTAGCCTATAGCTTACCTAACATAATTATATGTTGTGTTTTACACTGTTTCAAAACGGATACATTAAAATAATCCAGTCTTGGCTCCTACCCACTCAAGTCAATAAGGGTTATTAAGGCCAACTGCCATATAAATGCACTGCTATGCCAGTGCAGGGAACTGTCGTGACAGGAAACAAACCTCAACACACTAAGGATCTACTTTCTCTTGAAAAAGGTAAAGCAACAAACACAATGCATGAAGAAATTTCTTTCCAATATATAAATCATTACTAGTTTGGAAAATGTTTACTCTGGAAATAATATTAGAATATTTCCATTGGATTGAACCAAATAGATTTTTTAAGGTCAACAGGAAATGAATAAATGTCATCAATTTAGAGGATTTCACACCTAGCATTCTTTTCAGAATCACTGTGAATTTGATAGTGTTAAAACATTTTTATAGGTAAAATAAATGTCAGTTTTGCAAAGAGCGATAGCAGACCCTGAGAGACAAATGGCCTATCCATTGAATCTCTGGCCACAGCAAGACTTCCTTACCTCACAGGAGACTTCAGCTTTTCATAGTCTCTCTTTACCCAGAAAGCAAAGCTTAGGCAGTTTCTTTCAAATGGTAACTCTCTCTTATCCTGAAGAGTCTCCTCATAATACAATAATCTTGGATGGGAGGCAGTGAATTGATTCAAAAATAAAATAAAATACAAATACATATATTTATATGGTTATAATATTTCATGAGTGGATGAGCAAAGAGGAAAGGGAAGGCTGGCCTAAATTCCTGAGTTATAAGAAAGGGGGCTACATTGCTTTGGGCTTCATGGCTCATAAATTCATGAACTAATATGCAGGGGAAATGTGGTATTTTATCAGGATGCCATTCAAATATAAGGCTTAGCATTTACATCACAAGAGCCTGCATAGATTGAAACTATCCTCCGGGAGAGAAATGGCAAGAATAAACAGTGTGATAAAAATGTGCTTGCTGGGACATGGAATGGGCAGTAGAGGCCAGGGGAGTTTTTGAAACAGCTGACTAAACTTTTTGAAATATGTGACTGGTTATGACACGTGAAGCAATTACCATTAATGGAAGAAAAGGTAGTTCAAAGCTCATTTTCCATTCTATATCCTTTCTGAGACTGTTCCTACCAACCATGAGTTAAAAAGAAAAAAAAAAAAAAAGGCAGAGACAGAGAGAAATTACAACATAAGTCTCTTCCCTGGTACAAGGGCTGTCAAAGGTTGCTTTACTTCTAAGCAAAAGGGAAAAAGAAATGCACAGATTGCCTGAGGTTTTCTTCTTTTATTTTCTCACCAAGAGAGTGATGCTATATTGCAGAACAGACAAAAATACATTGATTACAGGAATCATTCCACAATATACACACGTGATTTTACAATCCAGAAAAGCAAAAAGATAACAAAGAGTCATTTGTATATGATGATAATGATTTTGAATAATATATTAACAGGAAACAAAGTTAGTACTTTCAGCAATGCTTTAGATTAGTCTAGTTCCATAGAATCCAAATGTGCAGCAAACACTGCACTTTTTGTTAAATTGCTGTTGAATTTGTTAACCCACAACTGATTTCCTGAGTTATGGAATCTTGGAGATTACAGCTAAATTGAAGCAACAGGGATAATTCTTGACAGTTAAAGGTACATTTGTATGCATTTTCCTGAAAGCCTAGTATCTTGGGGCCTCAAACTAGCAGCTCAACATTGCCCCCTACTGCTTACAAATAAAAAAAATAGGAGGTGGACGGAGAGGAAGAGCCTCACCAGCCAATGGCAATTTCACCCTGTACACAAATACCAGATGGCACAGCAATGAAAGCCACAGAGCCGTGGAGTTTTCCAAAGATCATGCTCTTCTGTCTCTTCCAATAGCAGAAAATAAATTATTATGAATTTGTTAAAACTCCTCTTCAAAGGCTTGAGGCAGTGCTCACATTTAATTTACAAAAACCAACTGCTTTTATCTCAGCCCAAACCTTTGCTTTGCTGATAATGATGGCCCTACAGCATGCAGAGACAATGGGCCATTGATTTCCTGCAGTACACTTAGGAATGCCATGCCACGGGAAGGAAACTAGCTCTGGAAAAGTCCCAGGACTGCTATTCCTCTTAACATTTTTTATATGACAGCCATAAAATAAATAGCAGATATTTTTCTCAAGCGTGCCACTGCCACCAAATGCATATCTTTTAAATCATCTTATAATGAACATCATTGGCATAATCACAATACCAAAGATTTTACTTAAAAATAATTTTAAAAAAATAAATAATTTTAAAAATACTTGATTTTTCTGGGTCTTACAAAATGAATATGTTCCTTTCTTGCTTTCATAATTTACAACTTTGTCAAATTACAATTTCAAAGTGTATCAGATGCCTTAATATTAGTGTTAAGCATGAAAAGTAATTTCTTTTTTCTTTCTATTGGTACTGTGGTTTGAACACGGCCTTGTGCATGCTTAGCAAGCACTCTATTGCTTAAACCATGCCCCCCACCCTTGTCTTTTCATTTTACCCATATTTTTGGATTTTTTTCCCGTTGGCCAACCCTGAACCATGATCCTCCTACGTGTGATCCCTATTTATCTAGTATTACAAATATATATTACCATGACCAGCTTATTTGCTGTGATGTAGTCTCCTTAACTTTTTGACTAGGCAGGTCTCAAACAATATTCTTTCAGTCTCTGCCTTGAGAATAGCTGGTATTACAAGTGTAATTTATCACACTCAGCCAGAAAACAGAGAGATTCTAAATTCTTATGTAAATAGACAAAATTAGAATTTCACATTAGGGGTAATAAAAATTAAAAATTACTTTTCCCTTAACTGAAGCTGCACATATTACATGAAAATTAAGTAATATTCCACACAAGCTTAGTTAATTAATAGAACTAAAAATGGAGATATAGCTAGGCACCAGTGGCTCATGCCTATAATCCTTGCTACTCAGGAGGCTGAGATCTGAGGATCATGATTCAAAGCCAGCCCCGGCAGAAAAGTCTGTAAGACTCATCTCAAATAAACCACCAGAAAATCCAAAGTGGTGCTGTGGTAGAGTGCTAGCCTTGAGCTGAATTGCTGAGGGACAGTGCTCAGGCCCAAAGTTCAAGCCCCACAACCGACAAAAACAAACAAACAACAACAACAAAAAAAAAAAAAACAACCAAAAACAGAGATATAGACAAGGATTCTACATTACTTCCAACTCATTTTTACAATGCTTAGTTAGTACAGCCTTTGGAGAAATAATTTTTTGTGATACTTATATATAAACAGAAGGATTCTAACATTCTTTCCCTAGACACAGATCCATGAAAAGATATGGTTTAGAAATGTGAGTAGACAGATAAAAAGTAGGAACTTCTACATTCTCCCCTAGACTTTTAAGCTGGTACCTTCAGGGTTGTGATGTGATATTTTCATTCTTTTAAATAGGGATTTAAGGGGATTGAGGTATTGCTCAATTAGTAAAGTACCTGCATAGCAATCACAGGGCCCAGTTCAAACCCCACTACTGCCATAAATGATAGACAGAATAAGGGTAGAATATCTGTGAAGTGTAATAATAATAATAATGTAACAGATGGCAGGAACTTTTGGAAATGATAGGATTTAACATGTAATATGATGGTAGTTTCAGGGCCAAATATTTACCTACAGATTCACTAAGTTGTACATATTAAGACAAGTGCAGCTTTCTGTATGTCAATCATTCCTCACTAAGCAGTTTTTAAAAATCAAGTCGGGATCAACAATAGCGCCCACATCTGCAGATCTTCGTTCACTTTTCCCAACACATTTCAAATTCTGTGAGGTAGCCCTCTCTCCAGAGTTTAGCAAGCTTTTATCACCTTCCCACTACATTCCAAATTCAACTGTTTGGAGACAGAACAGTGAGGCCGTGAAGGGCCAGGACCTCAGAGCCAGAACCTTTGAGTTCAAATCCCAGCTTACCACCCCCAACCACCCCTCACCCAAATCACCAGGGTGACCTTGGGAAAGTTACATAAGCACTTTGGGCTTTGAGTTTCTCCTTCATTAAAGTGGGAGAAAACCATACCTACTTTAGTAGGTTGTCAAGTCACAAAGAAAAGGTGGATTAGTATCTGGTACTCTACAAGTATCATGTGGTTGCTCCTACTATGCTTTATATTAAAGCATAATTAAGTTACTTTCATTTGTTTTAAGCTGTATTTCCTACTATTTGCCTTGGGTTCCTTGCTCTGATCATAAGATACTTCCTTCTTTTTTTGTTGGTGTTGTTGGTGTTGTTGGTAGTATTAGGGATTGAACTCAAGGCCTCATGCTTGCTAGACAAGTGTTCTACCACTTGAGCTACTTTACCACCTTTTCTTCATCTTTTTTCTCCCTTCTGATCTTGTTTTTATAGTTCTGAGAGTTGGACTGATACAAGAACTGCCGTTAGGATGGCAGCTGTTATATTTTTTAATGCAAATAAAATAGATAGTACTGTTGCACTATCTTCACCACCATGCCCAGCATCAATATAGCAATGTGCTTACTGTGTAAAACTACTCAAATATGTTTATTTGAACAAAGCGGAGGTTGTACAGATGAAATGTTTGATGTTCTCACTACCTTTCCAAATAATCAAATGCAATAAATAATCTGAAATAATTAGATACATGTATTTGCCTGTGAAAATGAGGCAGCTGAGCTTTCTACAGAAAAGCATCCCAGAAAGTACAATGCCAGACCTCATGTACTTACCACACCTTCCATCTTCTTCCACAGCCCCTCCAGCTGCTCCATGGGTTCACACCACCAATCAGTGCACTTTCTGTATCGATTGCCCTGAAACCAAAACTGTCTCAGCCACTCAAACTCGACCTGTGGGCCAGAATGAGGAGGTGGTGGTTAGAATGTCCTTGGGAAGGACAAGTAAGGACAATGTCTTCTCACTCAGTTCTCCTCTGGTAACTTAATAGGCATGGGGTGAGGAAAGGTGAGAAAAGCTGGGCCTTCCCACTTCCTGATATAACTTGGCATCTCCAGAGCATTTCTGCCAAGAATAGAGAATTCTGAAAGCTGAGGTTCTTTTAGGAAGGCAACCCAGCTCAAGCTGGGATGGGTTTTCAAGTCAGATATGAAGAAACTGTGTTAGTCAGCAATAAACACTGAGGTCCTAAGTATAATCAGCCTGTGCTGGGTATGATGGAAATCTTTATTAAACACCTTCATTAAAGGGTAGTATAAAAAGCAAGAGGTAGATACATATTAGAAGTATCAATCCCAAATTTCTTAGACTTAAATAATTTATCTATGAGCTAGAAGGAAATGATAGTCAATTTGGTCCATAGAACCAAACAACATAAACTTAATTATGAAGACATGCCTTTGACCTATGGAGGTATTCAAACTGCCCATCAACTTAATAAGGGCCAATGGCAACAGCTGTGGAGTAACAAAGTAACAAAGATAACAATGATTCAAGTCTCTTCCTATGAGTCTACTATTCTAAGCTTGCACTGTTACCTTAGACTTCCTCCTTCTATACTCTATCAAAGTCTTACTATGCACTTGGTAACCTATCATCACTCACTGAGACTCAGTGTTCTAGGCAGAGCTAGGGCTAGAGCTCCAATACTGGTGTAGAACTGACTACCCATGTCTAAGCCAATCAGTCCATCCTATTTTTCTAGTGACAAAAGTGGGTTGGAGGAAGAAGGTAGGTATATGTTTAATCAGACCAGGTCACAAGACTATTGAAAGATACAGGAAGAAGACTCTGTAGTCATTTTGCCATCAAATGAGAAGAATGGAGTCAACACAAGAGGAGATGACTCTAAGATGAAAAGACAAAAAAGCAAGTTTTGGGGATTTCAGCTAGTCTCCAATCAAGCTATTCCTGAAGCCTTTTTTTACTTAAGTCAATTCAGGTTGTTTTCTGACCCTTACAACTGGAATAAATCCAGTAGATAACAGGCTTAAGAAATTAATTAAAGAGGGGCTGGGAAGGTGGCTCAGTGGTAAAGCGCTTGCCTTGCATGCTTGAGGCCCTGGGTTCGATTCCTCAGCACCCATAAGCAAAAAAAAAAAAAAAAGCCGGAAGTAGCGCTGTGGCTCAAGTGGTAGAGCTCTAGCCTTGAGCTGAAGAGCTGAGGGGCAGTGCCCAGGCTCAGAGTTCAGGCCCACGACCAGACCCTCCTCTCCCCCAAAAAAGAAAATAAAGAAATTTCTCAAAAGCTTAAGAAATTGTTTCCTATGCATTTCCCAAGTTTTCTGTCATTCCTTTTTAGCTTAAAAAATCAAATTATACAATCAAAGAATAATACCATTTATCCTAAAAATTCTGTTTACTTTTGTCCTCAAAAAATGTACAGCAATCGCAGCTTCATGCTGGGCTGTCTGGCTTTGCTAAGGTTATCGTGTTCCATATATAGATGCTGCGCTATTATAATTGCCACCTGCTACACCACAAAGAATTTTCTTGTTTGTTTACCCACATTGAACTTTCATGGGGCAAACAAAAGCAACTTGTGAAGATTGAACAATGGTGAAAATGGCTGAAACCAGAAACCAGAGAACATCAAGTTGTATGAAAAGGTTTTAGTTTGAATTAACTAAATGTTTGATATGTAACACTGATTTCAGTTAAAGCTGTTTAAACAAAACAAAAAAGGAATGTAGACAATATTAAGACAACAGTTGCTAAACCTTATCTGGGTGCTAAAAGACAGTAGTTAACAGCCGTAAACTTGAGTAGTTTTGAAAGAACGGATGCAGACATAGTTCAACTTTGGGGAAGATACAAGTTTAATCACATATGTTACAAGAAAAAAATGAGTACTTTTTAAATGAAATATTGTCATACTATTAGAACAGCCTGTCCAAAAAAAAAACAAACAAAACAAAACATCAAGCCCAACACAAGGTTGAAATAAAAAGGTTTCCTAAGGCTTTCCAACTTCTATGCTGATTACATTCATTGAGAGGACAAAATGCATGAGCCTTAGAAACCAAGTTATCCCAGGAAATAAAATTGATAATCATATGCAATGAGTTCATCCTGTAGATTTCAGCAGAGTTTAGTGATTTAACACTCAGAAAAAAGAAAAACATACTGGGGGAATCTACCATGGAACAAGAGATCAAAGACTGAGAATCCTGTCCATTTTAATAGATAAAAGTCTTCATCTTCCACCTCGAATACCCAACCCTTGAGGTGGATAGCATCATGGTTAAGAATAAGGGTTCTGATCAAGGTGTAATGATGCATGCCCATAATCTCAGCCTCTCAAGAGGCAGAGTTAGTAAGACTGTGTGGATTGTTCAAGGTAAAAACCTACCTCAACAACAAAACTGCAAAACAAAAGTGCTGGGGGCATAGCTCAAGTGGAAGAGTATTTTCATAGCATGCATAAAGCCCTAGGTTCAATCCCAGAACCACAGAAAATGGAAAAAAGAAAAGAATAAGAGTTCTGGAGTCAGTTTCAAACTATCCCACTATAGAACAGCTATATCATATGTAACATAGTGATAATTATATAACCACATAGGGTTGTAATATGGATTAAATGGGCTATAGTGAAATGTCTACTGAATAACAAGCTTGCTAGATGCAAAAATACAAACTAAATAAATCACAGCTCCAGAATTTACTATCCACAGTATCTCACAATCTTAAGAGATTTTCTGAGACAAAAGTTTTAATATCTGTATCAATTCACATTCTCCCCTTCCCATTAACATTGCTCAGAAAAGTTCAACATTGAGAACTAATCCAACAGAGCTTTACTCAAGGGTTAATGTACAGCCCACAAGATACAGTCTCAGTAGACATAAGATTCTTTGGCATACATTCTATTTAACTCTACCACCTTCTTTTTTTTTTGGTCGGTCATAGGGCTTGAACTCTGGGCCTGGGCACTGTCCCTCAGCTCCTCAGCTCAAGCCAAGCACTCTACCACTTAAGCTACAGCGCCACATCCGGTTTTCTGGTGGTTTATTGGAGATAAGAGTTTCACGAACTTTCCTGCCCGGGCTGGCTTTGAACCACGATCCTCAGATCTCAGCCGCCTGAGTAGCTAGTATTACAGGCGTGAGCCACTGGTGCCCAGCTACCACCTTCTTTTTTCACTTCATTGTGGTGGGTTAAAAAAAAAATTACAGGATTCTAATCAAATATCACCCTTACCAGCTACTCTGCTGACAAAAATATAGTTGGTTCTTTTCTGAAAAATAAGTAGAGAAGCAAAAAATATTTCCAGCTGATTGATTCAGAATTTGAGGTTTAAAAAAACATTGCTTCTTTCCCTAAACTCTAGGGATAGAAAAGCTTCAGGGAGGGCTTGGCCAAAAACCAGAGAGTCAGGAATCAGAAAACAACAGAAGCCTTATTACTTCAAGACTAAAAAACAAATCAAAGCCTACCTTACTGACGGACTGAAAAAGTTCTACCCATGACAGGGGCTGGGTGTCTATCCCTTCTCCAGAACAGAGTCCCCCCAAGGAGGCCTACAGCCAACAGAGCAGAAAGAAGAGACAAGCTGTCAGGAGGCCAAATGTAGTATGGGGGCCAAGGAAAGTTCCATGGGTGATGTGATACAGGTCCCTGAAGACAAGAATAAGAGACAATATGGGAGCGTTCTCTCAAAGTTATGCCTGCAAAGCAGATTCCCTGATTTCCAGCCTGCAGTTAACGAAATTAATGATTATTATCACTTGGGCAATTTCAATACAGAGGAAATTAAAGCCCTTAAAGCCCACAAGCATCAAAAGGGCATACAAATGGCCCAGGGACCCTGCAGCATCATGAAGAAGAAAAAGGTAGTTTTAGATTCATAGCCATGAGCCAGAAAACCATCTCTGGAAGCCTCTTGTCTGAACCTGCCTTTCCATGGCATAGACAGAAAAGATAATGTCAAGAAGAGGTTTTCTCCCAGAAATACCAAGAGAGTGATTTAAGGGGAGAAAAGAAGACCCATCACTCCATCACTTGCCTGAACTTCAACTGCTGAGTACTTAGGCAATAGAAAGCCAAACACAAACATCAAGAAATCATACTTCTAAGGTACTCTAACACCATACAGCTGTAAACCGTCTCCATCATTCCCACAAAGGAACGAGTATCACCTGCTTTTCTCTACCATATTCACATAGGCTCTTTAGTTGGTGCCAGGTCAACCACACCTTTCCCTCATGAGATATGTAAACATGCTCCTAAGAGTTAATGTTATGTTGTAACAACTTATTTCACTAAGAAAGGAACTAAACAGAGATGGATGTTCAGGCCCTGTCTACAGAGATACCTTGTGCAGACCTTTTCACAGAAGCTGTAAGATGTACATTTGATTGGAAAATTCCAACACACATTCTCTTCTTCCTACAAAAATTTACTACAAGACACTAATGCCACATTTCATTATTTTTAAGAAGGAAAACCACTGATTCGATAACACAAAGATTCTGATTGCAAATAGGTATAAATCTTTTCTGACCATCTTTAAGTTAAATAAAACCTAAAAGGTACTCAAATGGCTCCCCAATTGTCTTACACTAAAAAGACCCTGTCCCTAAGGAGGCCTCCAGAGAGCTACACAAACTGACACTCCCCAGCCTCCCATTACCTCTTTGACCTCATGTGCTACAACTGGCAGCTCCAGCCCTCCCCTCAGACTGCCCCTGAACACTGACATCCTCTGTCTTCACAGTCATTATTCCTTCTGCTTGAAACATTTTTGGGTAGTAAGTGGGCTTGCCCTTCCTTTTTTAAGTGTCTGCTTTGAGCAGGTATCTTTTCTTTTTTCTTTTTCTTTTTTGGTTGGTAGTGGGGCTTGAACTCTGAGCCTGGGCGTGAGCAGGTATCTTTTCAATGGGATGTTCTTTAGTTCTCACAATCACCATTACCATGCTCTGTTTGATTTTTTTTTTCTTTTTTTCCTTTGCTTTGCTTTACATTATTGTGGTTGTTTTTTGGATTTTCTTATGATTTTTTTATTTTATTTAGCAACTTCTAGCATTTTATATAATTAGCCAATGAATTATGATCATTACCATCATCTTCCTGTATTAGAAGGTCTTATTTTCTTTACCAATATATTCAAGTGTAAGCAGAAGAGTCCTGGAACATGATTCAGCAGTTATTTACTAAGAGCCTAAATGAGAACACTGTTAGATTCCAATTCTCCATTAATTCTGATTATATCAAAAAGGAAGCCTTAGAGGAGTGGCAATCTTTATAATCAATAATTATCACTCGTTAATTTTGCTTTTGTCTCTTAAGCTATTTTTTAGTGTTTATACTTTTTGTAAACCAGTTGTACAAAGGGGTTTCAACTCAACAAGTCACATTATGAATACAATGCTTGAGTAATCTTAATTAATGTCACAGTGTTCTCTCCCCATCTTTCCCAATCCTATCCATACCCTCACTAGGTAGTTCAACTTCTTTTAAGTTTTTTTTTTTTTTTACTTATAATTTACACATACTAAAATTCATTCATTTAAATTTATGAGGTTGTGTCTCCATTACCACTAGTCTCCCTTCTTCACATGAAGAAAGAAGAACACAAGTTCAGAGCCTTCTACAGGCCTGAGGAGCTGCTGGGATGATGTAATAAGATTCCTCTGTTTTCAATGCTACTATTTTCCTGCTTGCTTTAGAATTAGCACTTGAAGTAGTAACATAAAGTTTCCTTTTTAAAGAAATTTATCTTCATAAAACAATCAGTTAAAGAAAAATGTTAGTTAACTATATATAGTTCTGCAATGAAGTGAAAATTGAAAGGGTATAAATTAACACAGTCAAGTTTGGGGAGCACATTAACCTGTAGTGAAGACCTGCTGCTCTCACAGTCTGCAGAAATGCAATGGACTTCAGGAGCAAAAGGCAAAACTCCATCACTTGTTCTGAGCACGCTCCCTCAGTGTTTCCAGGGAGACTGTTCTGAATGCCTTGGATTTCTGCCTTGAGTAAAGCCTATGTTTCAGGTGCTTATTGCAAGGCTATTTGTGTAGCCTTGGAAGATAAAGACATTCTCTCCCTTTAGAACAAAGGATAGGTTTGCTTACAGACTCAGAAGAATAAGAATGGCATTCTCCAGAGCAAAAGACAAACATGCTTATTACCTATCAGAAAATTCAGTTCTCTCAGTTCAAGGTTCTTCTCAATAATGTGGTCTGAATGTCTGTGTTCCTCCTAAAATTCTTATGTTAAGCTCTTAACTCTAAAGGTGGCAATATTAAGAGCTGAGGCTTCAGAGATAATAGATCACAATAGTAGAACCTTCATGAGTAGACAGTGCAATTTTTTTTTTTGGTGGTACTGGGATTTGAACTCAAGGCCTCCTTGGGTTGCTAACTTTTATTTTGTTTTTCAGATAGTGTCTTACACTAAACTAACTACTGGCACTGTCTTGGACTGAAATTCTTCTATCTTTGCCTCCCAAGTAAATGGGACCACAGGCAGGAGTCTATCTTGCATGGCTTGCTTTTGAGATAAGGTCTCCCTAACTTTTTTGCCCAGATTGGCCTTATATGGCAATCTTACTGTTTGAGCCCCGGCACCCTTAATTTATTTCTAATGTGGTGGTGGTGGGGTGGGGACACGCACGCATGTGGGCACACATGAGTGTTGGCTTGGAATTTTATGCTCAAGGCTAGTGCCACAGCTCCACTTCCAATTTTTTAGTGCTTACTTGGAGATTAAGACTCTCATGGCCTTTCCTGCCCAGGCTAGCTTTGAATCTCAATCCTCAGATCTTAGCCTCCTGAGTAGGTGGGACTATAGAAGTGAGCCACCAACACCCAGTTCTTAGTGCACTTTTGAAAGAGGCTAAGGGGCTTGTTTGTCCCTTTCACCATGTAGTGATGCATCAAGAAAGTGTCTTCTGTGAATCAGGATATGTGCCTCCCCCACACCAAAACTACCAGTACTTTGATCTTGGATTTTCCAGCCTCCAGAATCATGAAGAGAAATTCCTAAATGTTCAGAAGCTATCTAGTAGGTTGTATTTTGTTACAGTAGCCCAAATGAAAAAGCACCAACATGCTGATATTCTGGTTACCACTCCTGTAATAACTGGGATTTCACCACTGACTTAGGAGTCCCATGCCTTATACCAACAAGAACACAGCAGATGAATTTGTCTGCTTACTACAAGCAAGCAAGATTCTCAGACCTCACACTGTCTTGAAAGTCCTCACCTCATTGTGAATCTCTTCTCCTTGTTTCAAAACTGCAGGCTCAAAGGATTTCAGAGAGACATCTCCATTGTCCACATCATCACAGACATTCTGCAGAGCCAACTGACAGCGCTGCAAAATATAATCCAAGGTTCCTGTAGAACACTGCCAAAACAGAAGCAACAGTCAGGGTTATGAGTGAGATCCAAGTTCACCAGCCACACTTCCTATGACTATTCACTAGACCTTCCTTAGGCCACTCACCATGACCGTTTTTGTTTTTATGTGGCCCTCCCGGCTCTTAATAACAGTAGGCACCCAGAGGCTCGGACACTCTTCACACACACACACACACACACACACACACACACACAAACACACACACCCACACCCACTTTTTTTTCTACATGTACTACAGCATCCAGAACCGAGTCTTACATGTAGAAGAAAATACATAATCACAGGATGAATAACTAGTCAATGACTCTGACTGTATTTCAAGTGAACCTAAAAGAAGCCAGACCACAAAACTGGTTAAAATAGAATAGTAACAGCAGAGGGGAAATTAATGTTATAAACTTGAGGCAAATGAGTTATTTTCCTTTGTTACTAAAAGCATACACTAGGCAGCTGCAGTCTTTGGCAGAAGAGATTCTTCTGATTATAAAGAATCTATGGCTCAGGCCCTCAAAGCATACTCAAAGGCAGAATGTAGTATTTGGGCATTAGCAAGAGCACAGCTATCTAGTTCATCGCTCTTTAAGGAGTGGCATGAAACAGAAAACAAATGGAAAACTCTCCTCTGAATGACTATGTCAGAATAGAACATGAGACAGTGGGCATCTCTATTTTGATAATGAAATGATTATGATAAAAGATACATGTATACAGACATGTATATATACATATTCATAGACATATATGTAGATGGATATATAATCTTTTGATGCAATTATGGACACTGTACCTCTAAATATTTTTATTTTCATATTTGTAACTTAAACTGAGTTCTTGAAAAGAATCTTGAAGGTATATCCTCCAGTATAAAAATTCTTTGCACAGTTATTTCCCTTTTAACTCATATGACATCAACAAGCCTGGGAACACAAAGTTTCTATGCCAAAAACAGAAGCTTGACTAACATATATTTTAATACAAAGACCCCAGAGTGCCAAGAGCAAAAGGGTAGGCACTCCAATTTGCTGCAAAGAAAAAATACAAAGGAGAAGTGAATTCACACACATACTGAGCCCCCAGTATACAATGTCTAGAAAGTCATTCCACTTGCATATTTACTTCCTAAATAATTGAGTGGTCTGTGTACAAGGATACTAATCACATGTCCATCCATTAGCACTAAAGATTGGAAACAACCTAAATATCTCATCAATAAGGAACTAGCTAAAGCAACCATGTTGCAACTTTATTTCCAGCTATAAAAACAGGTTGAAAGGGAAATTTTTATTTTTCTGGGTTTAGTGAGTTTTATTTGGTTTAAGGAACTTATGATTAGGTTGTTGTTGAATTATTGCTTTTTGTCAAAATTCTGTGAAAATATAACTTAAGTCATAAAATTCAACCACTTAAAATGTACAATTTGGTTGGGGGGGGGGAGGGGGAGGATTGGGTGGGGGGGTAGGGGAGAGGCTGGGAAGGGATGTGAAGGGTAAACAAAGGAGGAGGCTGCAATGCTTGATAAGAGATGTACTCATTATCTTGCCCATGTAATTGTAACCCCTCTGTACAGCATGTTCACAAAAAATAAAAATTTAAATTAAAAAAAATGTACAATTGTTGTTTTTTAGTTATTTCCAGGTTTGTGCAACTGCAATTACAATTAGCTCATTTTATGTATTTCCCTAAATAAAACCATGGGACCTTTAGCAGTCACTCTCTCCCATTTGCACCAACCTTTCCAGCCTAATGCCACAATGAGTATACTTGCTATATCCACGCCTGTGGCCATTCTAGACAAGATTCATGTGATGAATAAAATCATACAATGAGACCCTTTGTGACTAGCTTCACAGACTGATCATGTTTTCATGGTTTATCCCTGTCACAGTTTGTGTTAGTACTTCATCCTTCTATGGCCACTTATACAATGGTTTGAATATGCCTCATTTTGTTGATCAGTCCATATAGTGATGAACCTCTGAGCTGTATCCACTTCTGGGGCTATGTCCACTTTTTCAATAATAGAAATCAAGCCATGAAGGAAGCTTGTGTATGGTTTTCATTTCTCTTGGGGTATACCTGAGTATGTGATTGCTGTGTCATAGGGTAACTTTGCATTTAGCTTTCTAAAGGAGTGTCAAGTTGCTTCCAAAGTGACCACACCATTGTTCATTCTTCCCAGCATGGTATAGGGGTTCCCATGGCTGTTCATGTTAGCAAAGACTTGTTACTTTCCTTGTGACTCTAGCCATCTCAGTAGGTATAAAGTGTGATGTCTCCCCTAGCTTTGATTTGCAGTTTTCTAATGACTAAGGAGGTGCATGGTTTTCATGTGTTTATTGGCATTTGTGTGCCTTCTTTGGGATAGATTTCTTAATAGCCTTTATCATTTTAAGCAGGGTTATTTGTTTTTAATTATTTATATCTAAGTATTCTTTATATATTCCAAATAGAAATTCTTTGCATGATGTACGATTTGCAAATATTTCCTTCCATTCTGTGTTGTCTGTTCACTCTGTTGAGATAAAGAATGCTTTACTTTTTGAAATACAAAAGCTTTTATCTTTTATAGCTCCCATTTTTTCTATTATTTTTCTTAGGTCACTTGTGCTTTTGGTGTCATATTAAAAATCATTGCCTATGTCAATGTAAGAATTATATGCTGATGAGAAATTTTCAGTAAAAGTTTCCTAAAAGAAATTCAAAAGTTATAATATACAGGGTAGACAAAATTGATGTATGTGTTATACATATGTATCTATGTATATATGTATTAATTAAAAGGATACCAAAAATTTGATGACATTGGTTCCATATAAGAAGTGCGAGAATGGTAGTAGCTTTAAGAAAAAGATAATACATATATAACCTTAGGCATATTTTGAATATTGAGCCATCTTAGTAACTACCTATGCAAAAAATAATTATGCATAGAATTTAAATTTAAAAATAATATTCTATGTTGACCCCCAAGAACATTCTGTCAAAACTAGAAATGGAAGTAAAGTCAAATAAAGATCAAGAGCCACCAAACATAATCCACTTACATCTGTCCAATACAGAGGAATAGATTTCTTTAGTGATGGACTACCATGAATTCCAAAATACTACTTTCTTAAGGCAGTCTATTTCCTACATATTGTTTGGCACAGATAAATCATATAATGTTAATGCTACAAGAATATATTTATGGAAAAAGTGAGGGATAAAATTGTATGAATTATGTTCCCCTCCTCTACTGAGGGAAATAACAAATCTTCAGTGTTATAGGAAAACTTCTTTTTGTCTAGTACTAATAACAATAATGTAACATGAAGCTAAAATTTTTCAGTGAGATAAAAACATAACCTTGCCACTTGAACCCAATTTTACTTCCCATAGTAATCTTCATCCACACATAGATGCAATCAATGCAGACATCAATTTATATGCTGTTTTCCACTGTTTATACATAAATATTCAGAACTACAATTTTCAATGTTGCTAATTAAGGTGAATTTGAACAGTTTAATTACATAATCACATGCCATAAAAGCATTAAGAATCTGCTCAGCTTCTCGCTACTATTGATTATACTGGAGAAAAAAAATCTCTTCATCAATATCATTCTATTATTGAAGTTTTATTTCTAAAAAAGGTGTTATAAGATCAAAGTTATGAAAATTCCATGGTGCTTTTTCCATAAATGCAATAACTTTGAAAAATATATCCAAATAGAAATACAACTAAAAGAACAGGAACTCAAAAGACTGAGATCTGATAGTCAAGGTTCCAAACCAACTCAGGCAAAGAAGTCCAGGAGCTTCTTATCTCCAAGTAACCACCAAAAAGATAGAAGTGGTCCCTTAGCAAAAAGAAATCAAGGCATGGGGTACTTTACTAATTCTATGCTAAAGGGGCTCCTTGCAGGAATTTTGTTGTGCATATTTATTGAAGGAAGCGAAAGTTACTTGTTCTCTCCTAATTTCCAATCCCATGTTTTCATTTGCTTGTTGGACCTCTCCATATGGCAACTCCAACTTATTCTGTTCAAAACTGAGCTACTGTCTTCCCCTAATCTAATGTCTTAGATTCATGATATGGCTACAGATAATAGCTATATAATTCCTTAAATACCCAGACTTAAAATTCAAGAGTCATCTCAATACCTGCCACATGGAAAACATCCAATAAATTTCATGCACTCATTCATTTTTACTTCCATCATTTTTACTTTACAATCATCTGCCAAGTCTTACACTATATCTTCTGTATCAACCATGGGAATTTCTTCCCTGACAAGTTTAATTGACATCTCCATTCTTTTCACTTCCTAAAATTATTGCTAAGATGTCAATAAAGAACAGGCAACAGCATACAACTACCAATTTAAGCTCAAACAGCTAATTTGATACCCCACACCTTTCATGATTGATGCCAACTGCCTACACACCTTAAGATCCAGACAACATCACTCAGTATCATATAGCCATTCAATATATATCATTCCATTGCAATCACAAAATTCCTAATTTGATACTGGTTCACCCCCAAGCTGTCCTAAAATGTCTTAAAGCCACCTAATCCTGTGCATATTCAATGTCTACACTTTACCTAGGATACGTTATGTTCCTTTCTACCTTATATTCTATACTAAACCTACCAGTAGTCTGCAACCATCCTTTGTGTTTTGGCTTTAGTTTTTTTGGGTTTTTTTGAGATAGGGTCTTAATATGTATTTTCAGTTGACCTTGAACTTGAATTACATATGTGTATTATCACTTGCATCTGGTAACTTCTTGTAATCAGAAAATATATTAGCCATTCCTGCTCACAAATACCTAAAAGAATACAATGACAGATGGGAACCAGTGGTTCATGGCTGTCATCTAGCTATTCAGAGGCTAAGATCTAGAATACTGTAGTTCCAAGGCGAACCTGATAGAAAACCCTGTGTTACTCCATCTTCAAAATTAACTGATAAAGAGGTGAGGTGGAGGTGTGGCTTAAATGACAAAACACCAGCCAAGCAAGCAGCTGTGAGGTCCAGAGATCAAACTCCAAAAACAGAACCAGTGGCTCATAGCTATAATCCTTGCCACTGGGTTGGCTGAGAGAGAAAGATCATAGATCAAGATCAGCCTGGAGAAAAAAGTCACAATTCCCCTTCTCAACCTATAGCTGATACAGTGGCTCAGGACTGTCATTATACCTACATGTGAGGCTGAGACAGGTAGGATCCTAGTTTCAGGTCAACCGGGAATTATTAGTTCCACAAGATCCTTTGTCAGTGGAAGAAGTTGAGCATGGTAGTGTGCACCTATCATCTCAGCTATGACTGGAAACCTAAAATAGGAAGACTATAGTCTAGGCACAGTATGGAGGCCTGGGAAAAGAAGGAAACCCTATCCTAAAACTCTAGCACAAAAGAAGGGTGAAGCCAGAGCACCGCAGTAGAGTACCTGCCTAGGTCCCAAGTTCAAACTCCAGCACGACAGAAAAAGAAAAGAATATTTTAAACACAGAGTTCAACAAAAGTTTGCAGAATGGATGAATGAACTGAAATCCCTTCTTCTGAATGGTAGCTTTCAATTAACTTTTCACACAAACAGCTTCAGTTGTCCCTATGTCCTATTACCTTTTCATCAGAAAAAAAATGAAAAGATATTAGTAGTAACTCAATAACAGTATTAGTGGCTAACATCTTTGCCTATATATATCAGTCACTGTAAAAGAACTTACATGCATTAACTCATTTAATCCTCATAAGAACCACATGAATCAGGCATGACTTTTATCCTATCAAACATAATTCCCAAGCTTTTATTCATCATTGAACGTTCATTTGAACAGATCTAATGAGCTTGGCTCCTCTCCTAGGTTAGACTAGGAAAGATGTAAGAAGGACACCTTTCCTTCCAACTGCTTTCCCTCCTCCCTTCCCACTTCTTCCTTGCAGAACCTACTTAGAACAATCAACACCTGCCAATGGCATTTATCTTTCCCCAGAAGCATAACTCAAATAACCTCAGACAATTACTTCTATGTTGATTTGTTTAACATTTGTCTCCCCAACTCAAATGTAAGTTCAATAAAAGTAATGGACAGAACAGTCATGTTGACAGCTCTTTCTCCCAAACACATGACAGACACTGAAAGATTTAAAACAATGAATGAATGAAAAGGAGAAGAAAAGACTGAAGAGGGAGACAGAAATGCTTGATGGACTGTCTGACTTCTTAGAAAGTCAATCATGCCTTTTCTGCTGCACAGCAACATGGCCAGTCTACAATTAAGCTACGTAATTATCAAAAGACAGGGCCACCACCTTATCAAATCACAGACTCAGGACCAGAAAGGCCTCATTCTTGCTCTTCTTTGCCACATGGCATTAATACTTCTGCCCTGTGTTCTCACACTTATCCCTGTAGATTCCTAAAAAGTCAAACTAGAAGGCAAAGCTCAGACGTGTACACTTGTATACCAAGTTGTAATCCTTCTCATGATTATTCCCTTACTCTCTGGATCTTGACAGTGGTGTTTCTGTGTTTTATTCATCTCTTTTACTTTCCATTCTGAACTACTCTGTCTGATCAGCTGACCAGCAGCCCTTGCCAAAGGATGATGAGAGCAGAAATCTCTGGGCTACAAACACAACTGGGGAGTTCTAACACTCCTTAACATCTTGATAAGTTTGTGCTCAACTTAGTTTAACCAAAAAATGAAGAAAAATGTTAATTCACAGACATTTGAACCCAGCCACAATGAACACACACATAAGGCATACAAATTTACCTCATTTCCCCTGGTTATATCCTGCCCTTGAACTTGACAATTACAATCACCTATGAAAATCTGACACTAGCAAAGGCTACAAAATGGCATTCACATTCTCCAAGAAATATAATCCCAAGAAACAAAACACTTATCCATACCTGTGAATAAACTTTAAAACTGCATCTGACACAAGCAAAAGCTTTTAAGAAAGCACATAAATAGAGTCTAAACTTAAGTTAGATGGAAGCAATTTTCCTATCAAGGACTCATCTAAAGCTCCATGATAAATTGCTTGCTCAACCACTTCTGTCACATTGAGTTAAGTGTGAATCACAATTTTATTTACACTTACCTCTGCCACTCGGTGGGTGGAACTAAATCGAGGTTGGGAACCAGCCAAAACACAGTGTTGGTGGGTGGCATTAAGATCATCTGAAGAAAAATAAAAATAAAAAAAATTTCTAAAATATGCTTATTAGTTAATATATACTATCCCCTATTTAACTAAGATACAAAGTAAATTTCAAACTCATTCAAGAAACAATAATGAGCCAGGCACCAGTGGTTCACACCAATAATCCTAACTATTCAAGAAGCTGAGATCTGAGGACTGTGGTTCCAAACCAATATGGGACCTCATGAGACTCATCTCCAGTTAAGCATCAAAAAGCCAAAAGAGAAGTTTGGGCTCAAGTGGTAGAGAGCTAGCCTTGAACAAAAAAAGTTTAGGGACAGCACCCAGTCCCTATGTTCAAGCCCCAGATCTGGCACTAAAATATATATATATATATAAAAGAAAGAAAGAAAAGGCCGGGAGCCAATAGCTCAGGCCTTTACTCAGGAGGCTAAGATCTGAGGATCATGGTTCAAAGACAGCCCAGGCAGGAAAGTCCGTGAGACTCTTATCTCTAATTAACCACTAGAAAGCTAGAAGTGGTGCTGTGGTTCATGTGCTGAAGAGCTCAAGGACAGCACCTAGACCCAAAGTACAAGCCCCACAACCAACAAAAAGAAAAAGAAAGAAAAATGAATAGGAAATTAACACCTTATATTAACACCTCATACTCTGTAAATCAATGCTTGTAGGGGTAATATATATATACATATATATAGCATGTATATGTGTATACATGTAAATATATGCATATATACTTACATATTTATAACATTTTATGTCTTATAGCTATTTACATCTATAATATTATCTTTTATTATATGTATTAGTACATAAATGATACAAACCAGGACACTTTCAAAAGTAAAAGGAGATGCTATTAATAATTCAATAATTATTCTAAGCAGAAAAGGTCAGATAAGGTGATATTAGGGAAATGAACCCTAAGATGTATATTCAAATGTTTTTTTTCTTTCTTGTGATTGTTTCAAACACATTTATAAGATTATTTCTTTGTTGCTATGTATGTCCCCCCCCCCACAGTATAACCCTGATTTCACTGTATTTGATATTGGTATAATTTGTGGAGGGGAAGAGGAAAAACAAATCGTTTAAATAAGGATACAGGTGGACCCATTGCAACAATGAGATGTACAAGTCGTTATGTCAAAAACGAACTTTACAATTTTGGTGCAGGGGGTGAGGGGGGCGGGGAGTATTGGGTGAGGGGGCAGAGGGAGGATGGGAAGGGATGGGAAGGGGAAACAAAGGAGGAGGCTACAATGCTTGATAAGAAATGTACTCATTATCTTGCCCATGTAATTGTAACCCCTCTGTACAGTATTTTCACAATAAAAAAATAAAATAATAATTATTATTATTATTCTGAGACAAAAGTGAACCAACACTGACCTCAGCAAACATGAGGAGGTCCCACTCCTATGACACTCTCCCACCATGATATTAACTACTTATAGACTTAATATCTTTGTTCTTCACATAACATTTCTACTTCTAGTCATATCTATAAATTGAGACAGAATTCTTTTCTGTTATTTAGAGATGAACCTCTTTCATCTAAAATCTGCCTCTTTCTTTCTGTAACTGAGTTCATTAATGTTGTCAACAATATTTCAGGCAACAAACCAACTACTTCCACCAAACATGTTTAGCTCTCAGAAAAAAATTCAAGCCTATAGATTTATGACAAAAGAAAGAAGTAGCTGGTAAACTCATCAACTGAAGAATACTCCAGCAAAACCATGTTAGGAGAAAGATCAACAGACAACTTGTTGCATATTCTAAGGATTAATGTTATACAGCAGACAAATCCTGTATCACTTCTACTATGTATATTATTTCTTTTACTGCAAAAAATAGAGTACATGCTTTTCTACATAGCTAATACTGGCCTCTTGCCATGATACCAAGATAGTAATGTTAAGAGGCAAAGGCTACCAGGCAGTAAAATCAACTTAATATATGAAAACATAGAAAACACAAATTGACAACTAAAGGGCTTCTATTGTCAGTTATTATGAAATAATAACTGACAATAATAACTCAAAGTTTACCCTCTACTTTAAGTAACTAGAACACAAAGCAAAAATATGAATCAAAGATTTCTGACACTTAAAAATAGAAACAACATAAATAATGCTTCCAGATTCCCTAACTAACTTAGAAATCGTTTCAAAGACAGAGTAGAGAAGGGGAAGCCAGCTAAAAAGACAGAGATTAGAGTTTATGAACATATTCAAGGCAGCAAGATTTGTAAGTCAGAATACTGGAATAGAAGAATATGCACAGAGAGAGAGCAAGAAGATCTACAGAAAGGTTCCAGTCTTTTGCTAAGTACTGTGAATATGTGAATGGAATTCCCAGGTCCTGAAAAGGAAGCATCTGAATACAGTAGGTTCAGCAAACCAGACCTTACAGATGACTGGGAATACAGTGTTCCAGTAGCCAGGCTGTTCCTACTACAAGTTACTAGGTAATCCTTAGTAAAAGCATCACCATCAGCCAGGTACAAGTGGCTCACACATCCTAGCTCCACAGGAGGTTGAGATATGAGGATGGTAGTTCAAAACCAGGAAAAGTCCTTAAGAATCTTTTCTCCAATTAACCAACAAAAGCCAGATGTAGAGCTGTGGTTCAAAGTGGCAGAGTTCAAAAAAAGTTTATGGACAGTGCCTGGGCCTTAAATCAAAGCCCCAGTACCAGCACAAAAGAAAAGAAAATAGAGAAAGAGAGAGGAAGAGGAAGAGGAAGAGGAAGGGAAGGGAGGGAGGAAGGAAGGAAGGAGGAGAGGGAGGGAGATAGAAAGAAGAGAGAGGAGGGAGGGAGGGAGGGAAGAAGGAAGAGAAAAACTGAAAAAATCTGGTATCTACATTAGGAAAGAAAGAACCTCAGAGGCTGTATATGACAAACCTACATCCAGCATTACACTTAATGGTGAAAACCTAAAGCCATTTCCTTTGAAATCAGGAACAAGACAAGGACATCTACTCTCTCCTCTCCTCTTCAATATAGTACTAGAATATAGTACTCCAAATACCAAAAACAATCCTTAGCAGGAAGAACACTTAGAAGAATATCAATACCAAACTTCAAACTCTATTACAAAGCTATAGTATCAATAACAGATTGGTAGTGCCACAAGAATAGGCCTGAGGACCAATTAAACCAAATAGAAGATCCAGGAATGAATCCACAGACCTACAGCCATCTAATCTTTGATAAGGGAACTAAAAACACAAGTTGGAAAAAATCCTCTTCAACAAATGGTGCTCTTCAACAAACTTAAGCTAAATCCTTATAGATCACCCTACACCAGAATCAATTCCAAATCAAAGACCTCAATGTAAGGCCAGATACCATGAAAGTATTACCGAAAGGGATAGGGGAAACACTAGGGCTACCTGGCATGGAACAAAACTTCCTAAGTAAAGATCCATAATCACAGCAAATCAAAGAAAGACTGGATAAATGATATTGCATCAAATTGAAGAGTTTCTGCATGACAAAGGACATAGCTAACAAGATTAAACAGAAAGCCCACAAAATGGGAGATGACCTTCACTAGGTATACATCAGAAAAGGGCCTCATATCTAAAATACAGTTAAAAAACTTAAACCTCCCTAAAACAAGTCCTTAAAGAAACAACAACCCAATTAATAAATGGGCTAAAGACTTAAAGAGAGACTTCTCTGAAGAAGTAAGAATAACCAATAGACCCACAAAGAAATGTTCAACATCTCTAGCCTTAAAAGAAATGCCAATCAAAACAACATTGAGATTCCACCTCGTCCAAGCTAGAATGGCCATTAACAAGAAAACTAATAAAAACAGATGCTTGTGGAGGGAACTCTACTACACTGCTGGTGGGAATGTAACTACTCTGGAAAGTAGTATGGAAGTTCCTTAAAAAACTAAACAAGGAACTTTCCTACAAACAAGCAATTCCACTCCTGGGCATTGATGCAATAAAAGACAAACAAGGACACACTAAAGTTGCCAGTACAACCATGTTCTCTGCAGCATTGTTTACCATAACCAAGATATGGAAACAATCCAGATACCCCTCAATAAATGAATGGGTCAAGAAAATGTGGTATATACATATATATACACAATGGAATTCCACTCATCCAGCAAAAAGAACAGTATTATACCACTCGTAAGGAAATGGAAAAATTTGGAAAAAATTATATTAAACGAAGTATGCCAGACCCAAAGAAACACAGATTGCATGGTTTCCCTCATTGTGGTAACTAGAATGTGCCTACAAATCTACAAGTAAACACACTGGATGATAAATGAAAAACAATAACAACAACAACACTGGAACATGATAAATTATACATGTCTCTAGGCATTCACACACAGTGAGACCAAAGGAAGATATTCTTAGTAGAGGATCACATAGGTACAATAGCTATGTGCATTTGACCATACAAAATAATATTTATCAAAATGAACTCCAGGAAATGAGAACAAGAAAGTTTCTTTTCCTTTGTTGATGTTTTTGTTTTCATTTCCCTTTGGCTTGCTTATTTATCTGTCTTTGGGAGGGTAATGTGGGGGGGGCACAAAATTGGGAGTATGAAGGGTGAGCAAATGAAGCAGTGATGTTGAAAATGAATTATACAATTTGTGCATCAGGACAGGAGGAAAAAGTGAGAAAGTAAGGTAAGGAGTGACATTATTCAAAAACAAATGAACTCTTTCATTTGACTTAATCTGATTATAACCCCTCTGAATATCACCTTTACAATAGCAATAAATAAGTTTTAAAGATGAAAGCCTTAGAGAAGGAACACATGATCATAAAAATTAAAATGACTATTTTATCTTCTATTGATCTAACATAACACTTTTCTCAAAATAATAGAAACAATATATTCAATTATACATGCACATATATTAGAGTAAGCATGAAATGAAATGAATGATAGCAACAAAACAAGTGAGCAAAGTGAGGAATTAGAAACATATAGTTATTTTAATATACTTGTATAATTTGTGAAGCTGTTT